TGATTCTCTCCTTCCAAGGAAACAGGCTCTCTGAGACAAGCCCCTCACATGCTGGCTAGAAGGACTGCTTCTGCTAGCTCTTCATCCTCCTCTTTCCAACCAAGGGCTGCAGTTACTTCCTCCTCCTGCTGGCTCTAGTGCAGCAACATTCACACTGTGCCAATGAAATGCATTGGCCCCAGCTGCCCTCACTGCCTGTCTCATCAGGCTCAGCAGCACCTGGGGATTTAGCAAGGCATCACAGGAAAATCCAAGCTCTCCCTGCACGGAGCACTGTTTCTTCATCTGGGCTCGTCGCCAAACCACATCAGTAACTTTATTACATCTCCCTAATTGGCAGCTTATTTCTCAGGCAAACACCTTCAAAACTTCAGAGCGCCTACTAAATATTTATGGATTTGTCTTCACAATGACTCAGTTATCAGGAAGGGGGAGAGAGATGCAAAGTAAGCCACAAAGAGGTTAAGACTACAACAAGGAGGCAACTAGGATGCTACAGTGCTGACTGCCTAATTTCCCTATTCAATGGCTGAAGACAAAACTAGCATCCAAAGCAGAGAGTGAACGAGAACAGAGCTGCATTTCTCTGCAGAGCAACGAAAAAGCCCTGATGGCAGACTCTTCAAGAGCTTGGACACCATCTGTCCTTACTTCTCTGAGTAGAAATTAGAGATTATTTAGCCCAGAGGAGAGAGAAAAGGGACCCATGACATGTCAACGCATTAATTAGGGTCCTCATTTGAGAAGATCTGCATTTCAGACGCCAGTTTAAGGCTTGTTTACATCTTCCAAATTCAACAAGCACTGGTTAACATGCCTGAATAGTTTTGGAGCATGGACTGAAAATCCAGGTGCCTTCCCTTGACGTCTCACTAGGAACATGCTCTCGTCATGAAATTAGTGCATACCAGGGCCAAGGATGTGAAGGGGAGCTGCCAGACCTATGCTGTCCATCAGACCCTGCCAGCACTCACTCCAGAGGCTCAAGAAGCAATGTGAAGTAGACTTGCACCAGCTGCTGAACTTGGGTCAAAACTGAAGTTCTTTTGGGTGTGCAGAGAGGCAGAACTGTATTTGCCTCCACAACGTGATAGTAAAAATAAAGCATAAGCAGTATACGGTGCAGGATTTTATTATCACACTTTTGGGTTTAGTTGGCTAAATTCTATCCCAATCCTCCTGAGGAAAGAACACCTACACTGGAAACCTCTCGAGAGGTTTGTCAATTCATAGTGGAAACCACTCTTGTCTGTGCTAAAAAGTCCTACCTAATCCCAAATAGCACGCCTGATGAGAGCCAAATTAATCACTGCAGCAATGTCACAATGTCAGCGAAATTACTCCTGTACACTTATTACAAACCAGGAAGTGTTATTCCCAATCAAAATCGCACAGTTTTTTGAACTTTAGGAGGCTGCTATTGCTTGAGGTTTACCGTAGGTTTCCCTTTAACGGGGGCCAAGTCCTGCGGGCAATAGAGACATCTACCGGCAAGCTCCGCTCGGCTCTCCGCCGGGAAAAACCGAATTCCAAGCCTTGTGGGAAAATCTGTGCGTACTCAGTTCAGGAAAAGACAGGACTGAAGGCAATTAGCATTCAAATGATTTATTCCCTGCCAGATTTCCAGGAGTTCATAGGTATATAAGCACAGATTAAGTAGTACAGGACCAATTAACTGAAGAAACCCGTTCCAGAAAGTACAAAGGAGGATGTGGGAGGTGTGAGGGGAAGTGACAGCTATAAACAAATGAGTGCCTCTTCTGCCTCCCAGGAACCGGAGCTCTATTCATTGTTTCCACTGATATTTTGAAAGCGATTACCTGCATTCTGCTCTGGATTTGCCACAAATACCCAGAATGGAGCAATTAGCAGCAAGAAAATAATTCATAATTCCCTCACTGGAGTGCTAGGCATGAATTAATACAGAACTTTCTTAGCAATGGGCAATTGTGCAACTCCTCAAAATGAAAATCACAGAGGATGAGAAGGGAAGAACTAATGCTCTTTTTAATTTGTTAAATGACTCAGCTATCATTCTGGTGCCTCCTGCTTACCTGAGTAGTGATGATGCAGATCTTGCGATGTTTTCAAGCAGGCAAAGATATCTGAAATAATGTTTAAAGGATCATTACGTTAATTCCTATAGCAGAGATAAATGCATGATTTTTTAATTCCTTCCATCCCACAGTTTGTCAGGAAACAGATTAATCAGAATTACTGTCTCAGCATTCTATAGGGGAGAATCAGTAATAGGCTTTAACTATGTTATAAAGTACAGTATATTGGCAGATTTCAGTCATCAATGTAATATAGCCAGATCACTTATTTATTCAGGGAAATAGTGGGAAACTTGTGATATTAACCTCAAGGACGTGTAGCTTCTCTAAGCCAATTACACCTCTGGGATATTAAAAGCACTTTGCTGTCCATCATGCTTCACAGCCTCCCAAAGGGATGATTTTTCCAGCTCCATCCTCAGTCATTAAGCATTCCATTAACTATACTACTACACCAAAGTTATAATAATACTGTCCCATTAATCCACAGCATCTAAAATGTTGTTAGAATATAAACAAACAAACAATTTCTGTGGTTACATATTTAACAGGCACAGCCAGATCAAATTTGGTCCAAAAATCTTTGTTTTATAAAAAGTCTTTTTAATAAAATCAAGATTAATGAGCATGTTTTCACTAATTGGATAAAGTCACTTTGTTCTATTGGAAAACAATCCTTCAAAATACCAGATTTCAGAAAATATGTATACTGTGCTACTTTTAATTCTGAAAAATGAGATAATCAAAACTGAATCTTCATCAAAATATTTGAACATTACACTTCTTCCTCTATTTTATTTGCTTATATTCCCCTTTCTAGTGAAAGAGATCTTAAATAAAAACCATAAACAGATGTTGGGGGAAGGACCAGCATTTCCACTGAGTGCCCTTGGTGATTCAAGGTCCCTTTTGCTCCCCTTGCTGGACCCAACTAGTTCTGTTGTATTTCATATGCTGTAAAACAACAAACATGAAAATGGGAATGGGGGCTAAGTCATTCCTTTTGAGGATGGGAAAACTAGATTTTAATCAAAGCAATGGTGCCCTCTCGAGAGTAGCTCCTTAACTCACTACATTTGCAGCAGTGTGCTTCAGCACTGCAGCATTTTGTGCACAGCCTGACCCAGAAAAAGCAGCACTTGAAGGGGTGATGAGTCTAAGAGTGACTCCTTTCTGCATCATAGCTAGGCTCAAAAAGAGAGAGATGCCCAGCTGCTCAGTCTGTTACAGCTAAGTGGTATGTCAGGAAAACTGGAAGACAGACTAAAAGGCAACAAATACAAATGAAGTTAACTAGCACTCTGCTTTTGCGGAGCAAAGTCATTCCTCGCGATAACCTTGAATTTCTTAATTGGCCATTTTGTAATAAATTCAATCCTTCACTGATTTCATCATTTCAGGGAAACCACACAAACAGAGAAATTACACCAAACTGTGACTTGAAAAATCAAGCACATGTTAAAAATTTTATATCACAATCTATCCTCAGGTATACACCCTGCTTTAACTCAGGAGGTCTCTCATACTGCCTGGGATGAAAGCAGCAATATCAACCCAAAGAGTTTCTTCCTACTGAGAAGGATAACATTACTGGTCAGACTAGAACAAAACCAATTTTTTTCGTTTAAGATTTTGCAGTTATCATGAGGAAAATCTGTCGTCATAAAAACACCTTTCACTTTAAAGACAAATTAGTAACTAACACATGAAACAATAGCTGAACATTTTCCTATAGGCCTCCCACTATAGTAAATTAACTTCCTTTTGGATTTTGTACTTCAGAATTGTCAGTGAGATTTGCAGACAGGAATTAAAATGAGTGACAAGCAACCAAAAACTTACTGCCAGTTTCCTCTGAAGTTCTCAACCTGTTTAAAAGCAAACATTTGATACATTACTCCAAAATTTCTGTCATTAAGCTAACAATGGCACATATAAAAAGATGTGATCTATGTGAAAGCAAAACTCACAAAGGTTTGATCAGCAATCATAAACCAAAATAACCCTCAGTGCAACTTTGTTCACTGACACAATCAGCAAATAATCTTCAGTTACTGAAGAATAGCCACATTTTTCTGCACGTTTCTTTCCCTGCTTTATGTTCAGTTGCTCTTATGATTCTGCACCGCTGTTCATATCGTTTATACTGCAATAACAGTATCAGTTACAGATCACTTCAATCTCATATACAGTTCTTCATTTTTCAGTCAATGCCGATATGTATTCACAGCTACACATGCCATTACCTTTACTTGCACAAAACCAGACTCTTTAAACTGATGGTCGTTTGGATTAGCAAGGTTGCAGAAAGACTACCGCATCAGCATTAATGTTAAAACAGTCTTTGTTACAGAAGACAGTGGATATGATTCACCTCACAGACCAGAGAGATCCCATTGAAGACAACAGACCAAGTAACAGAATCAGGCCGCTCAATGGCCTCTAAGTCCTGCTGGTAAGTATGCAGTTTGCCTACTGCCTATAAATGACTGGGGAAAAAAACAAAACAAAACAAAAAACAACAATCGGATGGGTAAAAAACACAGTATCTTTTTTCCTCTTTCCATGGTGAAGTTACAAGGGATGTGACAGCTTTCTGGTGTCTTTTATTTATTACAAACACAGTGTTACTAAATAAGAGAGATATAAAAGAAATTGATGAAAGTAAGAAAGAAAAGGAAAAGAAACATACAGACAGCACTGCATGGGGAAAAATACCTCCAATATTAAGATAACGATCAATGAAGCTGGGGAAAAAAATCAAAAAACCCACAATAAAATTTAAAACACTTTTGAAATCAGTATACTTTCACTAAATATAGTCAAAGCTTAATAACTATTGAAAACCCATTAAGAAAACCAAGCTAAATATTTTGTAAATGTGTAGACTCAGTATGAAAGAGATTAATCAGAGAATAAGAGAAGCTCTCAGGAGCTGCTAGCATTTTAATTATTAAAAAAGGAAACATGCAATATGCACAGCAAAAGCAAATGCAACTTTTCATGCTCACTAGATTGGAATAATGGCTAGTTAAAGATGCTATGGTGATCTTAACAATTGAATTAGAATACTGGATTATTGTTAGAATAAAAAGAGGTGTCTATTCCACCTAAAATTATACACTTTGTTTAAATTGATCTCTTTTATCTCCATTAATAAGGCTTCATGTAAAGAAACGTTAACAGACTGAATTGCGTTGACTTTTTGTTTCACATAAATTTCTCACCCTAAGTATATTGCAGAACTGAAGGGGAAACGTGCAGAAAGTATAGCAGTTTCTTTCTAAAAGCACGTGATGAATATCTTAATATACTAATAATACATACGAGGAGTGCCTGTTCAGAGTACTTTTCTTGGTGGTTCCAAACAGGCTATTACTCAAATCCTGTAAAGAAGAGAGATAAGATAGTTTTACTGGTAAAATCTACACATCACTGTCATATACACACTGCACAACTCAAAAAGGTACAATCTTGAAAACACTTATTGATACACTAATTGTTAGCACGAATAATGACACTGACAGGCAGGTTAATCCCAGGATTGCCACTAAAATGGACCTAATTTGCTCACATCACAGTTTTCCATACTGTCTCCATACATTTGAATAAAATACTCAGGTACCCACCTATATCTCATTACACTCACAAAGAGTGTTAAACATCTTCTAATATGGACGGTATTAGAGAACTCTCTTTGTGTTGGAAAATTCCAGTTTAGGGATAGACTTTACAGTTGTTGAAAATAAAATGTATCCTAGACCTCTATAACAGAAGATGGTAACACACTGAGCAGCTTTCCAGTGATATTTAGATCACATATTTTCCAGGTCTTACAGTTAAGGAAGTACTCAGTCAGTCTTTTAGACTTCCAACCATATTAGGGAAAATTGGGCCAGCCAAGTCCTCCTAATGTGCTAGTCAGAAATCGGATTATTCTTCTGCATAGTAGTCAGGTAGATTTCAATTCTCAAAAGAAACAGAGCCCCCCTAAAAAGTTCAAAGATGACAAAGTTTAAAGATAACTTAAGTAAAATTCAGCTTCGAGTATTATCTGAAATTTCGCTCACAATGTTTTTATTTCACTCACATTTCCACCTTGTACCTTGTTTTGTAGATGAAAAAATCTTTAACAAAACCAAAACCTTCCTACACACACCCCTGCTTTACTCCCTGCTACCCATCAGGAGGGATCTCTGAACCACTGGTGTTCCATGGGTAAATCTGAGAAGCACCACTTTAGGAAAAATACATTTCTTTAAAATACATCATACTCAAAGTGGAACATTTGGATGCAGCACTATTGTTACACCTCAGTGACAAATATAAACTCTCATAGCCCAGACATGACTTAAGGAGAGGCATAGCAACTCAGTGGGTATCAGAGGCTGTATTTTGAAAGAATAAATAATTTGAAGTTAATATTCTGGAAGTGACTAGTTTCGGCCTAACTCCAATCCTGCTGTAATCAGTGGAATTCTTCTCAGAACTTTAAAAATCCCACCCTTGAGTTTTACCCAAGACATCTAATATGAGTTCTTAAGCACCAGATTACTTGGTCTCTTCACACAGTTTTCCTGACTATACCTTTATTTTGCTTGTCTGACCTCATGTTTCACATTTCAAAGATTTATTGATTTAGACTCCAAGCTCAGGCTTGACAGAATACAAAATCAGTAAATTTATTCCTATTTCTCTCCCTCTCTCTACTCTTTCACACAAAACCCTGCCATTTTTAAAATTTAGATTCAGGCTCTCTTTGCTGGTATTTGAGATTCAAATTCTACCACACTCAGAATAGCAGATCTGAAACTATCTAGTTAATTTTTATTCCTTAAAGAAAAAAAAAACAACTCATAGCATTTACAGTGAAAAATAAACTACGCTTTTAAAGATCACCATTTTAATAATTAAGCGTGCCAGAAGCAAAACAGGCAAGTAAGGGTGCTGTTGTAAAAGGAAGAGGAAAGGATTATTCACAGTTCCTTTTCTTAATTTATTCTTTGTTAATTTCCTTTCATACCTCTGAGACACTCCTATGCAATGTAGAGAAAGATACATTTTCTTCCATTGGCTACACCATTTTAAAATAGATAGAAGTTTCTATAATCCCGATTCCTGCCCCTAGTCTTCAGGAAATATAAATTGGTCTAGCTCCATCAAGGTCAATGAGCCTATGTTGATTTACACAAGCAGAGAATCTTTACATTAAGAGCTGCAAATTAATTCTGATAAATAATAAGATATGGTGTTTAGAAGCCAGTGGTTAAGAAACCTAAGCTTTGCAATTATTATCAATATTCAACTCCCACTTTGCAAGAAATAAATTTGTCTCTGTGACAGACTAAGAGCTATGTAGCTATCTTTCCAAAATTTTCTTCACTCTGCTAACCAATTCTGCCCACAGGTTCAAAACCAAGTTGTGTGCTCACTCATTGCTTAATGAAACATCAACACACACGTCATTTCTGGCCAACTTCTTCATACTCAGAACCACTCCATGATTCAATAATTTAATATCCTACTTCAATAATCTTAATAGAGTGTTAACAGCTGTTAAATTATTAATTTACTCGTACACATGCACTGTGCCAGCAGACAACAAAGTTCCTCATCTCTCAAGGAGTATTTCATGACATAGAACCTATAGTGGCAAGTCCAGGGATGCCAGTAGAGCTACCCTGGGCTCATCCAAGGCAAAACTATGGACTAGGATGTGTAACCTTAGGTCTTACCTCTCGAGAATGCCTCAGGTAATCACAGAATGGTATGGTATGCCTACTGATGTCTTGATTTTTCATTTTCTGCTGCATGTAACTGAGACGTTCCAAACCTAGCCAAAAGAGCAAGTGTCAGTTATTTCCAGAGTGTAAATGAACACCTCTAATGCTACAAACTAAACACCTATGCAATGCTATAAAATAAACACCTATATACCATATTGCCCCAGCAAATGTGTAATGGGCTATAAAAGCAGTAACAGAATTTCATAGGGTTAAAACAGACTGTTTCCATTCTCTGTCAGTAGATTTCGGAGGAGCGCAGCCCTTCTCAGACCATGCTGTGCTGAGTCACAGCATCCCCAGCAACTCGCAGGATGAAGCCACTGAGCCGCATCACAGCAAAGCTGAAAGATAAGATGAACTATGCAAAGGATTTCTGAGAATGAAAGAGCTGGAGAATTACTAAAAGAAGAGTAAGAATGCCATTCCCTTTTCATTCCAACAGAGACGATACAGAATTCATTTATTCCCTTTGGAGGATGTGTTCCTGAGCAATAAGCAATGAATAATGCATGCAGAGGATCTGCCAGCAGATACAGTATTGCAGCACTGCCTGTGAGTGTAAATGCCCTGAGAAATTCACGAGAGAGTTTATTTTTGCAATTAGTCAGGATGCCACTTTAGAAGACACCTGGGGAGAGGAGACAAGGATATCATCCTCCTTGCTTCCCACTTATTCCTGAGGATTAGTATTCTACTAGCTCCCACGCTAGACAGGCAGCACTCCCAGAAAGATTTAACTGACTTTCCATCCAACCTATGTTCCTTTTGCCTCTGCAATGATGCAGCAAATAACCAAGTCGTGTGCGCCTGCAACCTAATTCTAATTCTGTAAAAATTATGCCATGAGGTGAATGCAGCGGATGACACTTTGAATTTGTGAATTTTTATTTACTGCTTCTTTTTAAAAGCTTTTCTGACTTTCACCATCTGCAAAATATCACATACTTAGCTGACTGAAATTAGACACAGTGAGCCAGTTCTTGCTGTGTTTCTCTTGCTCATCCCAGGCATTGATATCTGTGGGCTCTGAGCTCGCTTGGGTGTTCTGGGGACAATCATCCACTCTAATCACCTGGTAAGATAGACAAAACGACACTCAATTTATAGGGTGACTAGCACCTCTGCAGTTCCTCTGACAGCTTATGACATGGCCTTTCAGAGCATCACTGAAATGCCAATGACTGAACTCGCACACAATTGAGAAACAGATTTTCCCATTTTTCTTAGAAGTTGCAGAAGACATAGTACTTTTGTCTAGCAAATACTATTGATGAAAGATCTAGCACTACAGTTTCTTAAAATGAAGTTTCAAGTCCTTCAGAATACCTTCAGAGGTGTTAGGTCTCAAAGTTCAAGTCCAAGATCTGTTGCTGACCTGAGCATCTTATGTAACAAATCAGTCTTCAGGTTTCATTTCATTAAACAGAGATAACTCTTTCCAGCTGACAAAGATCCTAGGAATCTCTGTAAACCTTCATAAACAGTTTTTTATATATGTACACACGCATACAGTTATGACAGTTGCCCCATATATATGACACAATCATTACGCTGTCTGCAATGTGCCAAATGTTTGACGGATTCAGAGAAAAGACTGCGGGACTCCTGTAGGCAGGAGACAACATTACAAGGCTTGGCTTGCTTATTTACAGTTGCACATTACCTGGATGCGGCTCAGCACTCCTTCAGTCTATGCTAGATCATATGAAGCTTCCCCAAGTCCCCCTGCCAGCTAAAGTGCAAGGATTGATTGCTTTCTGTGTAAAACCAATAGTATACCTGGTATACTACCTAGTAAACTCCATAGACTTCAACATGTTCAAAACACACATTCAAACAAAAGAGAAATTAAACCAAAGTCAGACACACAAAAAAAGATGCCCCAATTTGTGTGCAGCGCTTTGAATGTTTACATTTTCAACTAAGCTACGCTGCAGAACTGCTTCTAATGACTGACAAAGACAGCTATGGGATATGTGATTCTCTTGCATCTGCACATACCGGCACCTGAAGGGGTTTTTTATTCTTCTTTCCTCTCCCAGACTTTCTGTCTCTGTTTTGTTGGTTTGCTTTTATTGCCTCACTGTCGTGTAGCTCACTGGATCGTAAAAACTCTGTGGGAAAGA